GAAGGAGGTTTGAAGGGATGGGGTCCAGAGGACAGGTGGTAGGGCGGGCAGAGGTAATGAGGGTAAGAACCTCACTTGGAGAGAGAGGGGAAAAGGAGGTTAGTGTGTGGGTGAGAGGAGGGTCTGGTGACCCAGCGGTGAGTAAAGGTGAGTCAGAAAAAGAAGAGCGAATATCATTAACCTTTTTTTCAAAGTGGGTAACAAAGTCGCTTGACAGAAGTGAAGAGGGGGGAGGGGCTTTGGGAGGGTCCAAGAGGGTGGAGAAGATGGAAAATAGTTTTTTAGGATTGGAATAGGAAGATTGGATCTTATCTTGAAAGAAAGTGTTTTTTGCCTGAGAGATCGAAGCAGAGAAAGAGGAGAGGAGAGCCTGATAGGTTAGGAGGTCGTCACGGTGTTTGGATTTCCACCGTTTCCGCTCTGCTGCCCTAAGGACGGTTCTATTAGCACGCAGTGCATCATTTAGCCAGGGAGCAGGAGGGGACTGACGAGCCTGCCGAGATGTGAGAGGACAGAGAGAGTCCAGAGTGGATGAGAGAGTAGAGAGGAGAGTTTCTGCAGCAGAGTTTGGACACACACACACACACACACACACACACACACACACACACACACACACACACACACACACACACACACACACACACACACACACACACACACACACACACACACACACACACACACACACACACACACACACACACACACATCACTATGTTTTTGTCACTACAAACAATCCCTTCCCCTGATCTAATGTGTTTTTTAATAAACCTAATTGTCATGCTTTAAAATAAGTACAAATATTAAACGGTAATATTGGTAAATATTTTGCTATAGATTCATCCTGTGAAAAGACCAAAGCAGAACATTAATATATCTTGCTTACAAGTCAATATTCTAACTGTAAATGCCATACAATAGACCACATCTGTGCTTATTCATGCCTGTACACATAGTTGTACATTATATTTTTATTCAGATATCAATTTATCAAGGTTCTAGCAGAAGAGGATACAAATAATAGTAAATAGTCAATTTGTTCGGAACTGTTAAATGTAAGGCAGGCTGTATGTGGAAGTGAATCAAACTAAACTACAGTGGATGTATTCAACGTAGGAAAATACTTAACCTAACAGTATGGCTCATATGTGTTTTTATTAGTTTTTTGGACAATAAAACATCAAATATTTAATTAGTAAGACTCCGAAACCTTGTCCGAATTCCAGGTGTTCAATCAGAAAAGCCCAGGTGTCCGTGTTCAGACGTTCATCAAGGCTAACGATGATAAAAGAGCACACCTGTGCGTGTTCATGCAAGGCTACATGGGAAATGTTGTTCACAGGGTTGTTCCCAAGGTTCAAAAACACTGAGCAGGACTTCTGATATGTTTTCTTCTTTCTGTACTGATGTATTTTTTGTTGTAATACCTTCAGGAGCTACAATCGTGGACCACATTTCCCATGTGTGCTTCTGTAATCCAGCACAGGTGTGGTCTGTTTGTCGGCTCATTAACAGCCCTGAGATTCCACTTGGTCAAACATTTGCCATGATGAAGGTCTGAGGGCCAGAGCTTTTCATTGAAATACCCAAAATACAAAAGGCTTTGTGTCCTAGATTAGATGTTCTTGGACTTCTTGCACTTAGCTTTGAGTTGTTAGTGTGCTGGCCTTCTGAAAAAAATAGAAAAGACAGAAAGCATTGAGAGAAAAACACACCGTTTTGTTGGGTTTAGCCTAAATGCATGCATGGGTGGACACCTTTTTATATAATTACAGGCTCATCAAACTCAATTCCCCCATGCATATATACTAATAAAAAACCCTTTTGATTGGGAGAAGTTGCAGAACAACATGGATTTGGAGCTTTTAATTTCTGCCTTTCATATAAGGATCAATCGTGTAATTTAGTCATGATTTTAATAATTTCAAACATGCTGCAAGATCAAATGCTTCCTCACTGGTGGATAGGGCTGCTCTATTAATCGTATTTTAATCGCAATTACGATTTTGGCTTGCAACGATTATGAAAACAACATAATCGAAATAAAACGATTATATATATATTTTTTTTAAATTGGCTTTTCAGTTGAATTATACTTAAAGTTCAGGGTAATCAATATATACATACTTTTAAATTTTTTCTCTTAAATAAATGGATGTTTTCAAAGTAAATGGATAATCATTTTTTAATAATTGTGATATCAATTATTGACCCAAATAATCGAGATTATGATTTTTGCCATAATCGAGCAGCCCTACTGGTGGATACCATTTTCTAACCCTTAGAAAAACAACAGCAAAAATGACAATGAAATGAAATCCTGCACCTAAATAACAAAAATTAGTTTCTGTGGTGGTCACATTCGTCTGTATTGCATATGTTCCTATTCTTTTTGAAGAAGAAGAAGAAGAAGTCACAAACCAAAGTGAAAGTGAAAGTGTGGTTTAATTTGACCTTGGTATATTTCTTGATTCATCACATATGTTGAATTCAATGCTTATCCCACCAGTTATGTTCAAACCTTTGTATAAGTGCCAAAATAACTCCCCAGCTACTTATCTATTTATATCTCATCTACCTTTATGTGAATCCTTGAGAAGGATCAAAGTAATCTGGTGACGCACATGCCGAGCTCGGCTCTGTTGTTTTGTAAATTGATGAGTCACTGGTTTGATTAAACAGGAACGCAGCAGATCCTGTTGTCATCACACTCCATTGATATATGGAAATATTCTTTCCTCATTTCACAAGACAATCACACTCTCACACACACTCACACACACTTTGGTGCATTCAGAGCCAGAAGAAGGAACAACACAGAAAATATATGAAAAGGGACATTTTTGCAAGTTTAAACGGGCAATTTGCAAAGGCTATTTGACAAATGAGTGTTCAAAACACCTTATGTCCTAAAACACCTTGTGAAAATCGTTCAAAAACAACCAGATAGAGAACCAAGTTTCAGGCTTAAGAGAGGAAGACTGTAATTGTGAGACCGATGGAGAGCAATTATAGAGACGAGCAGAGAGCAAGAGGGATGAAGATAGAAGAGAGTGGGTGAGATGAATAGATAAATGTCCAAAGAAGGGTCTAATTTTGGTGTCGTTGGTGCTGTGTTCCTCCTCCGGCTCTGACATGGACACGGAGACGGACAGGAACAGCCTCTCCTGCAGCGAGGAGCCTCACTCAGCCGGAGCAGCAGGACTCTCTGTGTCACTCAGGCTGTTGTGGAAGTTTCCAAGGTGCTCCGAGTGTTAATGGTTCAAGTGAAAAGCCCTGAGGTGTTCATTATCCGGGGCCCTGGACGCCGCACACCGAGGCTCTAACTGCAGCGATGGCAAGGTTGAAACTCTCAATTCCCTCAGCGATCACTTCATGGAGAGGGAGGAAAGGAAGCACTAGTAAACAAGCATTTGCTGTCATGAAGAATCATAACATCTCTACAAAGGGCCTGCTTTTAAAAGATGTAAAGATTTAATACACTATTAGGGAAGACAATTTAAAACAACTTAATAAATATGCAACACTGTTATCCAGTGAATATATAATGTCAAGTTTAGGACAAGCTCTTCTAGCTTTGAAGCAGGATAAATGACACACAGCTAATAATATATGCTGTATATATATATGTGTATATATATATGTACCTTTGAAGGGAAGGAACACCATGGATATATATATATATATATCACTTAATTTTGATAGTCCATAGTTAACACTCTATAAGTCATCAGTTGACATTTAGCAGCATGTCAACAGCAATTAACCAATATTCAACCTTACTATCTGTATATTGTGTCAACATCTTCAAAATTGACAATCAACTACTCAAAATCAATCTGTCAGTTGAAAGTCAACAGGGTCGTGTTGACTATCTGTTGATAATCTGTTGAGTCAAGATGTCAACTAAAGATTACATTAAGCATTAGTTGGTGATCAACAGATAAGCAACTTTAGAGTTTAGTTGACTATCTGTTGATCGTCAACTAATCTAGAGTTGACTATCTGTATACTTTTAGTAGGCATTCTCCACTAAGCGTTTGTAGGCATGTGTTAGGACTATCCAATTAAAGTGAAAAACAGTTGAGAACAGTAGAAAGTCTATAACCTATCAACAGAACACATAAATTCATCCACTAATTATATGCAACAGACATGGGAATAAAGCGAAATGTTTTGCACAACTGATCACAAACTTTATTTATTCATTATGTATGTAATGTTTGAGTTAGAAACACCTGTTCCTGTTTTATTTGACTAATATATAAGATAAATACAGAAGCCTAATGCATTCACTTGAGAAAAAAAGGTTTTTCACAAGAACTCACAATCTACAGATAGTAAGGTTGAATATCGGTTAATAACCTGTTGCAAAAAACATGTTGACAGTCAACAGACACTTTTTGTAAAATCTATAGATCAACACTTGAGATGTACCTTATATTCTACTGGCAGTTAGTTAAATGGATGTTACTTGTCTGTAGAAACAGTGTTGTTGAATGTCAACTGATGACTTGTAGAGTGTTAACTATGGACTATCAAAATAAAGTGTTACCCTTTCAATATCTAAACTACCCTTTTTGTTCCTGAGATTGCCAACTGGGCACTTTAATTGTCCTTAAGCCCCGCCTCTAATCCTGTCTTGGCTCGGTCTAATAAATGGAGAGGGACAATAACTGGATTCAGCTTTTAGCGCTAATGATTTAAATAAGGGCAATTCAAGTGTTCGTACTTGGGAGTTGGTGTAAAAAAAAAGAAAAGAACTGAAGCATTGATTTACAAACGTCTCTTTCCAAATGTCAGTCAATGGGAAAAATGGCCAATGGCTTTAGGTGACTGGTACAGAAGCTTTAGTACCACCGTTCGGCCTGTATGAAGATGTGTTTAAATATCAAACTACTAGCTTTAAAGCCTTTTGGCACCGTTTACCCTACTACCTAATGATACATGAACACATACTGGATATTTTGGACACACAAAGTACATCACAGCTTGCAAATGTTTAAAGTCAATTCCTTTATTTTACAATACAAATATGGAAGAAATGATTTGGCAGGCAAACAATGAGTGATAAGGGGAGTCGCAGAACTCAGAACTTCAATGAGCAAAACAGCATATTAACACGCTCACCATCTAACCTCAATCAGTTCCTTATAAGGCACTTAACCAAGCTGCAGGTTGAACTAATGTCATAGGCCAGCTAGAAACACAAAGCCTGACCTGAAAAAACAGAGCTAGTCGGGGGAATTGACGGCCCTTTGGTGCGTTTCTATCCAATGATTTAACCTTAGCTGAGGGGTGAACCACGTTGCGAGACGATAACAGGTCAAGCCAAGTCAATTTTATTTGTATAGCCAAATATGACAAATTTGCCTCAGGGGTCAAAGCAATCTTCCTTTTTAGTCCCTGGCTTCAAAAAACGTAAAATATTGTGTATTGTAAGTGTTGGCTTGCTCAAAACAACGTATTTTAGTGGAACGTGCAGGATGCAAGGAAAATCGTCATGGTTTCCGTTATCTCTCTGACTGGGATTTTAGGTTTTGTCTGGCAGGCTATCGTTAAAAAACTTGGCTCTGTCGAAACTGCTTTATGGTTCCCCCTCTGATCTCATTAAGCTAAGGTTAAACTAAAGTGGTCCCACTCTGTAATGTTGAGCAATCAGTTACATTATTGACAGAAAAACAAAGAGTTGTCAGTGTACATGTATGTGATGATGTAACAACAGTGTGTAAACACATTTTCCTAAATTTCAAAGTAGATACGATATTCATTCTGCTTAATTATGACGGAATTAATGATGACACAAAAAGTTATAAATAAGGACCGCTGCCACGTCCTCCATCCTGTTTCTTCTCAGAATAAATCAATGTAAGTGAGGATATTATAAATACAAACCAAAGACATTAACATAGTTATAAAAAAAACATGCAATGACCAGGGGCGGACTGGCCATTGGGAATACCGGGAGTTTTCCCGGTGGGCCGGTACCGAAGTGGGCCGGTCGGACAATTCACTAGCACCCCCCGTTGACTATTGACTAGCGGTACCGAGTTGGGCCAGTCGGCCGGTCGAGTTTCCCGGGCTGATTTTTAGTCCCAGTCCGCCCCTGGCAAGGGCCGTGTGTTCACAATTAGCTCTATGCTAGCAATTAGCATAGCTATGCTCCAGAATGAAGCAAACATTCACCTGTAAAAGGGCAGTATGGACATGGCAAAGCAGTGGATGAGCACATTTTAGGACTGTGGAGTGTTAAACACACTTCATTTAAAAGATATCTATCGTCTACAAACCTCTCACTCGTGGCATTTGAAAAGTTGCCTTCTTCACAAGGCAAACATCTTCTGTCAAAGTGTCCAAAATAAAAAAATATACAAGATTTTGAGTTCAAAAATAAATCTGTACTTATTTAGTTTTCCTTCATTCGTTCCATGATCTTTAAAGTTACGTGGTGGTTATGAACACACCGTCAAGTAGCATTCAGGTCCGTGAGTTGTTTGGTGATAAGATAAGAGATAAGATAGTACTTAATTGATCCCAATTTGGGACATTTTTGTGAGGCGTCCTGTCACTCGTACTCCTCCCCGGCCGTCGCAGCCTCTAGAGCAGCTAGAGCCTCTGCCACCATTGAGTCCATGACGCTATGCACCTCCCCTTCCTCCTCGTCCTCGCTCTTCATCACCGAGATCCCGCTCTCCACCGTTGAAACGTCCAGACCCTTGGGCAGTCGGAGCCCGTCCCTGGTGTCGGCAGAGGACAGGCTGGTGGTGCTGGTCTGGAGGTCCACCGACAGGATGCTCCCTTCGTCCCCCGTGTCAAACAGGTACTCCGGAGTCCCGCCCACTCCCTCGTCTATCTCGTCTGCTGACAGGCTCTCACTGCCAATCACACACTCCTTTACGCCGTTGTCCCACCTGCTCTTCGTCACATGGCGTTCCTGCTCGGAGAAGCTCCTCTGGTTCTCCTGTCTGTTGGGGTAAACGGGGACTTGGCTCGGGCCTCTTTCCTGCATCACCCACCTGGGTCCCAGAGCTTCTGGCTGGATGATGTACAGACCTCCATCTGTCGCCTGCCTGTGGGGCTCGTTGGGTTGTGAGTGCAGCCTGTGGTTGACGTGGTTGTTGTCCACCTCCAGTTTCAGCGTGCTGTCGTTGGACTTGCTGTAGCCCAGGTTGTTGAAGCCCTGCTTCTGCTTCTGCAGCGGGTCGCAGCGGGGGAGTTGGTGTGGCTGGTAGAGCGAGCTGCTGGCAGAGTCCGTCTTCCTCACATCCACCGCCACCGAGGGGTCGTACATGTAGCTGGGAGAGACAGACAGAAAAAAGTACTTTCAAAACCTTTCAAAAGGGTTAGAGTAGGTGGCCAAGTTGTTTTTTAATAATGGCCAGCAGGGGGCGACATCACTGGTTCCAAAAATATATCAGTTTGTATAGAAGTCTATGAGAAAATCACCCAACTTCCTAAATTATTTACTGTAAATAAATTAAAGTAAAAGGTCGTCTAACAGTTTTAGAAAACAACTGTTGGATAAAACAAAACAAATGGCAGCTGATTATGCGTAAAGTCAAGTAAATAAAACCAAAAAAAGCTAATAAATGGAAATTAATTCACACTTTGTTTTCTAAAAATAATGAGCACTTATTATAAGAGGAGGGCATTTCATAACAATGTTTTCATTCTCAATCAGATTAATACAAAGCAAACAAGGAAATGCTTCAACCCCTATCTGATGGAGAGTTTTCCTACAAGGGTATACAGTATAAACACAAGATCTCACACAGCTCGACAGGTATTAGAGTGTTGGCAGGTGGGCTTTATTTTGTTGACAGAGTAACAGGCTGTCAGACATTACCTGCTGCGAGAGCCTCATGTTTTGTCATTTCATTTGTTTTGAGTCGTAACCCCGGCAGAGCTGCCTCCATCTCACACCTCTCCAGGAGCCTCGCTCTAACCGCCTCCTCGTCTCTCTTTCAGCGGCACTTTATTCTAGTTGCAGCTCGCCGTCTACCGTCCCTTTGCACTTCACTTGTTCACATTTCAGATATATAAAATGACGCAACAACAAACACACACACACACACACACACACACACACACACACACACACACACACACACACACACACACACACACACACACACACACACACACACACACACACACACACACACACACACACACACACACACACACACACACACACACACACACACACACACACACACACACACACACACACACACACACACCACACACACACACACACACACACACACACACACACACACACACACACACACACACACACACACACACACACACACGAAGAAGACTTTCTGCTACAGTATTTTTACGTGGTGGAGACAAAAGCCTCGAAATGCTTGGGAAGGTTGAATACATTTGGAATATTAGTGTGACAGTAGTTATCAGACCTAAAAATAACCATTTTGAGGACAACAAGTCACTCAGAGAAATGCAGCTGCTCTGTTCAAATGTGCATATAAGTAGATGCATTTGGTTATTGGGAGTTCCTCCTTCCTCTCTCCATCGGGGTTCCCTCTCTGTGGTGTTTTGCTTATGTTAAAGAGTTATTTTTATAGGATGCACCTCCGTCCTCGAAGAAGATGTTATTTGCATAGGTTTTAACTGCGAAAGCTCGGCAGGCAAGTTGCCGTTTACTGCATTAGGTCAAATTGGGATTATGTTATAGGGTAAGATTCCTTTGAGCTAATACAACGATAAGCCATCCCTGCAGTATGTGAGCACAATGCCAACTCACTTCTAGCATTAGATTTAAGCTGATTATAATGGTTTGAAATATAATGCAGTCAGTGGTACAAGTTGATTTTATGCCACAAAAACTTTAGCCTACGATGAACATCTTTGTCTCGAGTACATTTTCATATTAAAGGGGGGCATAACTTGCAAGCTATGTTGCTAGTAATGTTCAAAAAACACATTATTCTTCTCATAGTTTCAATCTGAGTGTACCTGTATTCACCCTCTGTCTGAAATGCTCTGTTTTAGCGCCCGTCTCTTTAAGCCCCCCTCCCAAAAAGCCCATACTTTGGGTTGATAGGCACATCCATTTGGGTATATAATGTCTCTTTAAGCTAGAAGCAAAGGAAACATTGGTAAAGCTACAATGACAATATAATTACTATCAAGTCAAAAGGAAATATCCAACATAAGGCGAGCTCTCACAAAAAACTTTTGATATATTTGAAAATGTTTAGTGAGGCCTCTGCTTTAGCTTGTTTGGGATGAGGCTTCATGCACTGCCTTTAATTATGGTCAAATGTCATATTTTGTGGTAAATGTGAAGAATTCTGACCGCTAAGACTCACTGTTTTTATTGTTTTGGATGAAATATACATTAAAACTAGTTCTGGAGATTTTTCTTTTTGCCAGAGTCCTTGTAAATAAGAACATTCAAATATTTTCTTTTTCAAAATAAATGCATCAGCCTGGAATGTGTCAGCTTACAGAGACTGAATTGTTGACCCAGTAACCTAAAAGCCCACCCTGCCCAACCCTAAACACCACTAAGCCCAGAAATGTGACACTCCAGACAATAACAGAGGTATGTGTGTGTGTCGCACGCATTCACATGTGTCTTTGACATGGGAAAGGAAAGAAAAAGTGAGGAGGGGGATTACGGCTGTGGTATGCGAATCCCAGGGTGTCTTTTCATTAATCTGCAATCAAAATTGTTTCCCGCCCCTGTTTCTATCTCCTCGCTCACCTCAAAAAGCACCGTGATGTCAGACCCTGACAACGATGCCGTGTAGGCTTTTAATGAGCAGACAGTCCTGCAAGGAAATACAGTAACCAAGGGTGATGGCTATTGGCATATTGACTCAGTTTGCACAAAGAGCCCACGTGAGGCTCAGCGCAGACATCATTTATAAATGGACCCTTCACTATCTGCATGAAACGAGACAAGAAATCATTATGTGGGCAAGGAGACATTTGAATTGTCCCTGTTCACCTGCAGATAAGGAAATCTAGTGAGAGGCTGTTAGTGAGGAGGCGGACTGGAATCTATCGTATGCTAAAGAGCTAACACGAATTAGCGCTTAAAATAAGTTGATTTATCAGAAGGACAAGTGCTTAATGCTAAAATACTTACAATGGCAATGCTAACTAGAGAATGCAATTCCTGAAGAAATTGCTAGTGGGAATGCTTTATGCTGAAAAGCTGACACTAAACTGCTATGCTGAAATGTAATGTGTAAGAAGAAAGTGAATAATTGAGATTGAAATAATACATGAACACAGGGGGCTTGAATGTGTGATGAGAGAAGAAAAGAAAGTAAAAGGCTTGGAAAAGCAGCAGAATATTTGAACTGCAAACTTCTGAACTAACTTGATGGCGAATGATCTGTCGCCATGCCAACGGCATTTGATGACACCCCATAATACGCTTAGATGCGTTGATGGCTGCATCGTTACCAAACCTGTGAAGTTTTGGGGCGTTTGAAGCAGTTGCACTGAAGTTATGAGAAAACTGTGTTTCATGGCGGGCATTGTGTTGCCGTGGCAACGGCATTTGAAGAAATCTCAAAACTGTCCCGTAGATGTCTTCACGGCTGGACTGTTGGCACACTGCTATCTGAAGTCTGCTGCTCTGAGCATGTCAGTTGGAGTGATGACATCATCGTGTTCCATGACACAGGTGTTTATATTTGAGCTAACGAGCTCTGTAGAGATCACAGGTTTCCATTGTTCTGAATGAGATAAACCTCTTACATGTGAACGTTTTGTGGAAGAACCGTAACAGATATCTGTGAAATTTCAAAACGTGAAGCATGTCAAGGAAGTTGAGTATCTGAAGTGTAATTTTTGTGTACTTTCGGGTTAATAATGTGGCCTTTTTGGCAGTTTAACTAAAGGTGTGCGGCTGCTGCTGTGAGGAAATATCAGCCTGAAATTACAATGGGCTTTAATGGAGGCATGTTGAACGTTTTTGTCACTTCATGCCCTCAAGGAGGCATTTTGTTGAATTATTTTTCACACATTCTTTCAAGCTACAAGATGTTTTCCTACGTTTGTCATGAAAAATTATGGCTCAGCAATGTAGGGTTTGGGAATTATGGCAGTTTAAAAAAAATATATGAAGGCAAATTTCAAGATGTTCTACCCTCTAGCTGTGACATCACACACTCTAGTTAATGTTAAAATCTGAAGAAAACCTCTTTAACAAGGTCTGAACAATGTTTAATATCTCTAAAAGTAAGAATCAGATTTAAAAGTTGTTTTACACGAATAATGTCAGAAAGATGTGTAACATTTTAAAGTTGGAATGAGGTTTCTGAGTGAAAGTATGAATGAACAGTTAGCAGTTGAAGTCGCATGAAGATTTGTTGAAATCTGAAGAATTTATCCATTGACTTCAATGGTTAAAAATGTGCCATTGATTCCCGACCGAGCTGAACGTTTTGATGTTTGAACGGAGTTTCTGCGATGTTCAATGCGGGAGAAGAAGCGCGGCAAAATAAGTCGGTGGAATAATAAGTCGGCGGAATAATAATAAACTTTTCGTGCGTAGAATAACAGTTTAGTAGAGCTCAATCTAATGGGAGTAAAAACCTGCCGAAGGCACTAGATTCAAACAAAGGCAAAAAACAACACCCACATAAAATATTGAAAAACAACACAGACAAAGGCTAAAGAGTTCGGAAGCTTTGGGAAATGTATGTTGTTCATGTAAACCTGTATTCAATTGTGTAAAACTGATCAATGTTCCCTGACACTTTTTTTTGTTTGTTCCCGTTTTCTTATCTGAATCGAGGCTCCGGGGATAGAGCGTGATGGAGGTCATTTGTCAACAAAAAAAAATGGGGACATTTACAACAAAAAAGATGGACATTTAAAGTGTCAGTTCAAATAACAAAAGGGCATGTTACTTACTAAGAAATGCAATGAAACATTGTAAGGTCTGTAAATTATTTAAATGTATACTTCTTCAATCTAGTGAGTACCACAACTGAAAGACCTCCATGTCTTGGGGTGAACATCAAACATGAAACAAAAACTGGCTAGATGTCACTAGAGGAAAGTTAAAGAAATGGAGTTTGAATGAACCAATATCAATTAAATTAAGTGATTGTAAGATTGTGTCCTGTCAGTTTCTCTTAAAAAGGATCCCAAAACCAAACAGAGGTAATTACTCACCTCTTTATCATCCTGCAGCATTGGCACCCCATTTGGCCAGCTGTGTAGTGGAGCTGTGGAGGGACATAAACAAAGACATCAGGCAATCTGAAGCAGCACAACTTCTGTAATATATATTTTAAAAGCAGGTGACATTTGCCATCAATGTCCAAGCTATAGAGGCTGCCTTCATTCTTCAGCCACAGGAACTACGGCACACACTTTGACAGATTGCGAGATGCTATTGATCGGACGGTTCACCACCTCTGACATGTGAGCGGTTTTTAAATGAGCGCCCTCTCGAGGAATTCGTCTCATCACTCAAGTTTTTGCTTTGCCCTTGGTCCCGACGGTGTTTGGACACAAGGATGAAAACTGTGTCTGCCTGAAGCACCGATAAAGATGTTATTGCCATCCATCACTGTGGTGTGGCAGTGTGTGTTGTGGAGTGTGTGTCTACGAGTGACCTTTTCTCTCCTGGTGGTGTGTTTCTCTAGGCTTTGGCATTTCATTGCCAGGGTAAATAATTAATCACTGAGTCGTGAATGGGTTTGTCTGAGAGCGAAGGAGAAGCAGATAGAGGACACAGTATCTCTTTGTGGAAGAAAGGAAAGATGTCTGCCCACGAGACGTTTCTATTCTTAACCCCAACTTTCTGACCCTGCAGGTCTGTCCTTTACCTTTGGTCCAACAGTGGGATGAGTTCAATAACTTTCGGGTGCTGCTTCATTTAATTACAAATACTATCAAAGCACATATGAACAACAATATTTATTTAAAAGGATAAGTCTGTCTTGTACGTTAGTTACTTTTTGTTAACAAAGAACAGCGCTTGGAGGGGCATTGGTGTTGAACATATCAACATAGCAACACAGGCAGTACTTGTTGGTGATTCATTGTTGTTTTTTCATGGGATTTGTTAAAAAGTGTGAAGAAGAAGAATGTGCCATAGCTTCTGTGATTAAGATGCAGTAAGCCCAGGCAACTATGATGCAATAAGCTTTAGGTATGTGTAGTGGCGTTTCTATATGTGCAAAAGTGGTGGGGCACAAAAAACTTAGATGTCTATATATAAGCTTCTGCAGTGAGGTTCATGGCTGGCGAGGCTCTGACTCTTCAGGTTTACAAATATTATATTTTGACCTAAATCAAAATATAATAATATTTTCAAAAGCTTTTTTTGTCTGATGCTTCAATTAATTTGATCAGACAGTTCAACAGAAGGATACCCAAAAAATGTAATTTTATCATTTCAATATTGAATTGTTCTCTCTTAGTAAGATCCCATTTTCAATAAAATTGTGGTCTTACCTTGACTTGAAGATGAAGTCCATTTGCCTATCCTTCTGGACAAAAATCTCTATTACTTTTTTGTAAAAGTCCTCCTTATCTTCTTGTAGTTTCAAAAGTCTATCATAAATCTAATCGATAGATTTATGATTCGAAAATGATAAAAGTAGGATATTATCCGGCTGAACAAAACGTGCATTTATCTAACAGCTACGTTTCCCACAGATCTTATTTGGAGCTATTTTCCAAAATCCTATGGAGAAATATCATTGCTTTTTTGTGGAGGGAAGCCATGCGCAGTTTATTTCCGGGTTGTAGGACGCCTCACTGCAGCTCTCTCTCCTCCTCTTCACACACCACACTTTTCGCGGCACACGTACTTACAGCCAATCAGCTCTGAATTATGTGAGATGACGTATGGTGGGGATGGCAGCTCTATGCCCCTATGGTCATTATTTTTTGCCACACACATTAAATAGGAAAATACTCTGAGCATGCGCAGTGTAGTTTTTACAGTCACCGTTCACTTAGACACTTAGGGAGGGGCAGGATCGGGTTTTGTCCCACATGGCTCTAAACAGCTCAATAGGCACACACTGTAGACACGAATTAGAAGAACACATACTAAAACAGCAATGTACAGACGAATCAGATGATTAAACATGATCATAAAATATATTTTATATATATTTTAATTTATTTTTTGCATTTTGTTGTAATCATTATTTTAATACTTTCTGCTGACACTAGGTGGGGCTGTGCCCCACCTGCCCCTAATGACCAGTCGCCACTGGTTATGTGGAGGAACTTCATTCAACATGTAAGCATTAAAAAAGAAAATCGAGTCAGCGTTTTAGCGCTTTGGGTTTTCTCAAGCTTTTGGTTTAAAATGTCTTTGGACAAAGAAGCTAACGAGATGTTCACATATTGTTCTATGACTTAAAATTAGGGCTGTCAAACGATTACAATTTGTAATCAGATTAATCACAGCTTAAACATTTATTAATCATGATTAATCACCATTCGAAAAATATGTCCAAAATATGCCATTTATTTATGTATATTGTTGTGGGAATGGAAAGATAAATGAAAGAAGGCGGATATATCCATTTAACATACAGTATCTATGTTTATTATAACATTTTTCTGCGTGTCAAAATGAAAGACAGCCCACACACCTATCAATCATCAAACCGTGGGGTCTTAATTCATTACAGTGTTGATTTCTATCAACGGGGGAGTACTTCAGGAAAGTCGACAGAGGGGGGGGGGGGGGCGGCGGCGGCTAGTGGAGTACTTCGTGACCACAGTGTGAACGTTGTGATCAGCTGTTTTAGCACAGTTCTCCAGTGAAGGGGGGAGAACCCTCCGCAGCCGGTTGGCGTAGTTTTGGCACAATTCCGTTGTACAGACCGACGTTAACAGCAGCCCTGTCTGTGCACACGGAGACCGACTCTGTCGTCCGGTGATCTAACCGCCTTCTGGAAAAGCTTCACAAGTACGTCGGTACGCAAATGCGCTTTGTGACACAAGTGACGGTACGCATTTCAGATTACGCACATAACCTGCGTACCAGTTATGTGCACCCCTGTACTACAGCAAAAGTATTCTCCGTCGGGACTTCCTGCAACAACACCACGCCGTTATCAAAGATGTTCTATTGAGAAGACGATCATTACGTGACAAAAGTTTTCAAAACCGTGGCTACTGAAATCAATCTTACTAACTGCTGTCTGTGCAATTTACTCCGCGCGAGTTGGCAGACTTTATTTTGCTTACTTTAACATCATTTTTCATGGTGGGGCTAAGCCATTTCTTGGTATGGGTGTAGCCTACCCCAGCCATACCCTGGCGCTGCCACTGGTGGCACGTATGGGGCGGGCCATTCTGCACATGCGTTAAATGCGTTAAATATTTTAACGCAATTAATTCAACAAATTAATTGCCGCCGTTAACGCGATAATTTTGACAGCACTACTTAAAATATGTGAGTAAATTCCCCACTCGTGAATGTCCAAAGTTTTTCCATGTCCTAAAAGAGAGGTGGCTTAAAAGTGACTAAATACGATGACTTAACGTCATCAAGCCACACACGAATCCGCCTTTAGCATAAAGTGATAGTCAAGTACTGAGTTTATAGCCTGATGTTAGCTTTTCACTTCTGCCCATTACATTCAGGCTTCAGCAATTATACATGGTGTCAATATGTGGAGATTATCCCTCTGAACAGATGTGTGTTTGCCACAATATTCCATAAAAAAACAAAAAAACATGGACAAATCCCATTGCTTTTGTGTTGAGGCAGCCATTGCGATGCTAACTTCCAGGTTGGCCTACAACAACACGTAAACACTGCGCCACTCTTTGTGAGGTCACATTGATTGAACATGAAAGACTGTGTTGTTTGTTCACAAAGCAAATCATGACTTTGGTTTCCCGAGGCGTCTCATCATCCCTGTACAGGTTTGCTTCTACGCACCACAACATAAAAAAGAGCCAAACAAAGTCAGCTCAAACACAGAACAAATCTCAATATACACACTCCTCTTGTCTTTGAGCGGCCTCTATTCTCTCCTTGTCCTTCATAGAAACTAGGTGGACTGTAACCGAGCTGCAACAATCCCCAACACACATTCAACATTTTAACCGGCACACTTTCGCAGCTACTGTTGAAGAAGCCAAGAGGGTGTAGCATGAAAAGTGCAATTTGGAGATTCAGTGGTGCTTTAAATAGAGGACCCTGTTCCACACGGTTGCACCCACCAACCAAGAGTCCCTTATCTTCCAGTAGGGGGGTAAGACAGGAGATAATTTCCCAGCGGGCATCGGGAACTATCACACTAATGGAGTGCCGCATCGGTCCCGGAAGAAGTCACTATCAGCTGACTTTTACAATTACTAGTCACATTCAAACAGGTTAATAATCATCTGGGCTCCAACTCCCAATCCTCTCATGCTGATTTCCCCCTCCACCAGATGTCCTCTTCCTGTTGTTTGTTGTGCGATGGTTGTTGCGTTGTTGTGCATTATGTACATCTCATATCTCGGTGATATGTGTCTGCCTCTATCCGCTGTCTTTACCCTTAGGGATGTTTTAAAGTGCTTGCGGGCTGCCTCGATGCGTTCGGGGAAGTTCATCACAAATCCGACTACATATCTGTTTGTTGAAATGAATGGCCCTAAACCCTGTGACATAACAATCTCTGACTGGATTGTTGTGAATTAATTATGAGCTTGAATAAATGTTGCTCCTTTCCTGGCACCAGCAGGGTAATTAAGCAATAACTTCAAGTTAAATGATGCACATTTCTCTTAATAAAATACGGTTACATGAAGGGTAAACTAAAACAGTTTAATTAGAATTGCATTAATAAACTATTCTCCAAGTTTCACGCAGATAAAAGCTGCCACTAAAAGGATTGGAGACAGCTGACTACATGTATATCTTTTAGCCTGTAGCTACGGAGCCAGAACATTTTACAGTACAAATAAAACAAACAGTAGCAATAAGATATGCCTTGTATAATACATACATTTCAACCCGCAGTATAAGTGAATGATGAATAGTCCGTTTTTTTGTATTTGCGATAGTATGTGACCACTAGGTCCCTTCAAATATATAGTATTAGAAACAGGAGGCAAAGACAAAATGGATCAAATATTTAGCCCTGCAGTCTATCTCATGACTTTCCCTCTCATGTGTCAAATAATGGGAACATAACAAGCTTGGGCATAATGAAGCACTTGTGGCAGGGATGTGACGTGAAACACACTTCTTCTTCAT